CCTCTCCCCTCTCTCTCTCTCTCTCTCTCTCACTCAGCACTCCCAGTATTCACCCCTCTCCCCCTTCTCTCTTCCTCTCACTCAGCACTCCCAGCATACACCCCACCCCCACCCACCCTCCCTCAGCACTCACCCCTCGGCGTCGGGCGAGGAACGCGTGAGGGCTGGCCCACAGCTCGACGCTATCGTCCGCTCCCACGCTGCTCGTCTTCTCGTAGGGAATCAACGACACGAATCGCGCGGCCTGCCGCGGCGTGTCCAGCAGCCGTCCGGCGGTCAGCGGCCACAGGTAGGTGCATACGGGACGGTGACTCGCTGTCTCGTCCTGCGAATCGGGGACGGCGAACAAGCGTTAGTGATCGGCGAGGTTTCGACGATCGCGTGAAGGCAAAACAATAACTGCTTCAGGGCGTCGGTCGTGCCTAGGAGAGCAGATAGCGATGGCGGAACTGTTCCTCTACCTATCGAACCTACTGCAGCGATTCAGAATCACGCTTCCAGGGTGCGAAATTAACGGAAGTCCGGAGTCAAATACTCCCTGATTTACTGTCGGACTCCCTGATTTGACATATTATGCAGGAGTCCGTGTGACTCCCTGAAAATTCTGTGATACTGACTAGTTCGTTCCGGAGCACGGCCTCGCGGAATTACCGTATTTTTTCAGCTAATGTCCAATGAAACTTTGGCAGACGTGCAACTGCATGAATCTTAAAAATAAGCACACGCGTTATTGTTAATATCTTTAATTTTAAACCTCAGACTGCGGACTCCCTCATTTTGCTGCGGACTCCCTGTTTTTGAGGGTAGGGAGTCCGTTGGACTCCCGTGTTCAAACGTTAATTTCTACCCCTGCGCTGCCACCTGGTGTTCGAAGAGTGTGTGGCGGAGGCAACTGACCGAGATTCAACACGGTGGTACTCTGGTTCGACGCTCAGGCGCTCACCTGGGCAAAGATCTTCACTAGCCTGCTGCTGTGGGACTCCCTGACCTGCAGGTATTCCCTCCACCACTCCTTCGCATACACCAGAAACAACCTGCAATCAAGCCGACGGTGAAAACCGCGAATCGTGTATGCTCAAGACACTGACTTGCGCCACGGGCTCCTGCGTAAGTATTTCTGCATAATAATTCTCCTCGCAAGTGCACTTGAACCAGACCAGATTAAAAAAATTTGCTGCACAAATATGTTTATTTTTCGCGCAAAATTTTCAACGATCAGTTGATGTACTCAGATGATAATTGCACGTGAAAATTACACCTTAGGCGTGAATCATTTGATACATTTTACATTTTGGGAGAAGCCCAGAATAAAAGGCTATTATATACTATAGTCACCAGCTGATTGCCCACAGTGAGACTTTACATTTCTACATAACAATTTCCCACGTAGATACACTTGATCTAGTTTCGAATCTGCACTAATGCCTCAACTTTTCCTCAAAGTTTTTAACAATTTCTTGTAAAAGTGAGACAATCGACGAGTCTCTCCTTGAAACACGAGTCGTTCAACGCGCATCGTTACGGCGCGCGTTACGCACCTTTCGCTCTCCGCACTCCTCGACCTCTCCAAACCCAGCTGTGTCGATAGCAGATCTTCATCCAGTGTTTGCGTCAGAGACGGTATCAACTCCAGTCTAACCTCCAACACTCCCACCGGTATCTTGCTCTCTCTGCCTGTAGGTGACGAATGCCAACGCGTGTTATTTACCTACAGTGTGCGCACGATGCACGTATGCGCTGCGTGGGTAGGCTCTACACAGTGTGCGCACGATGCGCGTATGCACTGCGTGGGTAGGCTCTACGCAACGTACGTTTTGCAGAGCTGCTGCGCGGGAGCGTTAGCAACATCATACTCTCGCTGTTGTTCAGCGCGCGCTTCGACTACGACAACGCGCGTCTGCTGACCCTACTCGACAACGTCAACCACGGCTTCGTGCTCTACATCAAGGCAAGTATACACGCAGAAGCAATCACAGCCCATATATAACTAATTTATTAATTTACTTAACTACTAACTTTAATAAATAACTAATTAACTTAAAAGTTATTTGGGGCTGTGCGAGTATGCAAGTATGCGCACCGCTCATGGTCCCCACCCCCTGACCAAACACGGCCACTCATGTACGTACGGGGGGGGGAGGGGTCCATTTGAAGGGAACGTCAAAAGAATTGCTGTCTGATCGTGATCGTGTCTTCAGACAATGCAGAAGCGACACTTTCCCTAAAACCCCACTGACACGTCCCCCGTCCAATCTCCCTGAAAACCCAACCAACCGCGCTAGTACACCGACCAACGCACCCCCCGACCTCCCATAAAACCCCACCAACCGCCCCCTAAAACACCAACAGACGCACCCCACCTCCCCCACCAACCACCCACTAAAACACCGCCCTCACCCCCGCAGGTGATGATGATGAACTTTGTTCCTGCACTGTGGCTGCTGTCGTCGTACCGCGACGCGGGCCGCCTCGTCGCGGGCAGCCTCCGCTCCGTGCACGCCTTCATCGACGACCTGCTGGCTCAGCACCGCGCCTCGCTCGACGCCGCCAACCCGCGAGACGTCGCCGACACCTACCTCGCCAAGCGGGCCGCCGCGCCGCACGCCGATGATGCCACTTACCTGTCAGGTAGGAAGGTCGTTACGGGGGTGCGTACCTGCCAGGTAGGTCGTTACGGGGGTGCGTACCTGTCAGGTAAGTCGTTACGGGGGCGCGTACCTGTCAGGTAGGTTGTTACGGGGGTGCGTACCTGTCAGGTATGTAGGGTAGGCTCTACGCAAGCTGCACACCTACCTATGCCAGTCAGTTCAATGGCCGTATTGGACCGCGAGGCTGGTCTGGTCAGTAGATGGCGCCACTCTAGGTTGTGCGAGGCAACCAGTGTGTCCTCTCCGCTGGGGTTGGTACTCACCAGCACCATATGCACTGGATCGCACATCCCCAGCAGAGTTGTTGTGTCGGCCATCTTCGCCCCATCGCCTACCAGAGAAACGGGAGTTTATTTAGAGCGGCCCCGCTTTCAGGGATTTCTTGTGAGCAACAGCATAAAACTTTCCTGAAGACCACATCGAATTATAAATTCTTTCAACTATTTTTCATAAATTGTTGAACTTATTTGACTTGTACAATTATATTTTTGAATCACAGCAAAAAGTGCATCGGCTTGTAATCATAAAAAGAAACATGCACAGACTTACCACGGTTACTGGTAGCTCTAGTACTATAGCCCGCTTACATTAACTGCCGCTGGCAGCGGCAGTTAATGTAAGCGGGCTATAGTACTAGAGCTATGTTACTGGCTGCTCAGTAACACCAGTATCTAAATCTGTCCTTATAGGATAATAATATAGAAGCCGTGTGCAGTTCACATGTATATGCTAGGTGATAAACATCCACGATCCATTTGTGCGGCACTCACCCAAGGCATCATTGTGCAGCTCCAGCAGGAATCCCTCACCGAAGTCCGGCTCACATGCGCAGGCGACGGGACGCGAGCGAAAACGCTGGCCGCAGTAATGTACGTGCAGCGTGAACGTGGACGACGACTGACCTGGTCGACAGACGCGGAACGCAAACGAAAGGCCAGGGGTAGAAATTAGTTTGAAAATTCACAGGCCAGTCGGGCCTGTAGCTAAGGGATTTTACAGGCCCGCCAGGCAAATTACATGCCCGCATCATTCCCATTTTTTTCGGCTAAGATTTTCTACGGGCCTGTCGGGCTTGCTAGTATTAGAAATGTCAGGACCGAGCCTTAAAATACGGGCATCGGGCCTGCGGGCCCCTCACGATTTTGACCCATGGAAACTTAACGTGAAAGCTGAACAACTCCCACACGCGATTCATGAAGTTTGGGAGTAACCCCCATTAGTGGTCACCTCTAAAGGACAGATGCCGCTCTATAAAGGACACTTTTGGCTTTTTTCTTTGAGTAACCCTATCATACATGTTTCACTGCAGTAATTTCCATTAGAAAATTTCCCTGATCCATACAGGATGGATGAGTAAATTATTTTGTAGTAGAACATACCATGGAAAGAAAACGGTTGTTGTAGATGTTCGAGGAATGCTTTGCCACTCACAACATGCAGGTACAGGTGTCTCCTGGCCGGGTCTAGGCTCCCTAAAGTAAAGAAACGACAAAATGGTTGCATGGCAGAGAGATAGCAGAGACACACTCACTCTTTTGGTCTCATTCTACATTGATATTACTTGATTATTTATGCCATGTAATGTGATCATGTTCTAATCTAGGCATTTTCCTAACCTTGCAATGTAATTCCACATGAATGACTAAGCCATCCGTGTGCTAGGAATGTCACAAATTTATTTCACCTACTTACAGACCCAGCATTGGAATACTGTATCCGGTCACTGCAAACAAGGAAGTTTTATAATGGTGACCTTACCCTTCTGTGGTGAAGGGGCAGCGCTATTCGCAGTCTCCTTGTTCACTGTCTCGGCTATAGGTTTATTTGACCCATGCTCCGGTTCGCCATAGAGCCCCACTCTGAGGCTCTCCAGCACTTCCTCTACCAGCCCTCGCGATACGATTTCCTACAAATGGGTGCAATTAAGCAATCAGGTTGATGTAATTTAATGCCTTTAGTTTAATTTAATAGTTTAATTACTCTATGTCAATTGCTCCAAGTGATTATTGTAAACTACTATAAACACATTGTTATAATGTTAATAAATGCATTTGAGGAAGAGTAAGCTTCAGAATGAGATTCGGAAAGAAGATTGAGAGGAAGCTACTTACACCGTTAATACTTGTGTTAAAAGTGATTACGTCACCGTAAATAGTAAAAAGTAAAAAAAATATTTCCACTTTTCCACAAAATGTAAGTAATTCTGTTCACTTTTTATGGTTAAATTGCTGCATTATATTTCCTATTTTACTATATTGTTCGATGTAAACATACACTCGTGACTCATACATAGCCCATAGCAAGCAATTAATGTCAAGATAATAATATGAAATCGTCCAGGTTTTTTGGATTTTTAACTAGTTGAAAAATAATCTTATCAGGTAAGAATTTGAGGATACATTTAGTGCCATTAGTACTTACTTTTCATGTAAAAAAATTGCAACAGCAATTTTACAAATAATACCATAGAAAATTCATGACGTTCATGACAAATTTTTTTGCATGTATACGCTTTATAAGAATTTGAGCCCGTTAAAAGCCATTACCTCTAGTATGTCTGCTTCATTGAGAGGAGCTTTGTGAACTTGTTTGCCGTCCAGTACGTCACGCAAAACTTTCTCTACATGCCCTCTCACATCAACCTAATAGATTATCATTGCATTAACACACATTACATTTTAACACACCATAGTCACAAACACAAAAACACAATTTGTAGACATATACAAGCACTCACACACTCATACAAGTATGCACACGCATACACACACGCACTCACACACACATATATACATACATATTTAATTTATAAAGTATACAAAACTAAGCATAATGCAGCCAATTTGAGGCTATGACATTCACTTTTAATTGAGGCTTAATTAACAATTTACATGGGGTTTCACTCCGGAGGTTTCAGCAATAGGACAAAATCCATCAATTTAAATGTTGTATTGGGAATATGATTTATCATTATGAGGTCACATTTACAAGTTGGCCACAGAATATTACACAAACCAACCACTTTCGTCTTTGTTGACATCACAAGTGCTTACTGGAGAATGTTAGCTTGTTACTGTGATTTGTTAGAGCTACATTCAGTATGGGCCCCTTTAGTAATTTATCGGTGACTGTAAAATGAAGCCTGTAAAACCCATTTAAATAAAACTAATTCTCAGTAACGTTTCATTCGTTATTGTAAATACCTGTAAAAGGTGATCGTGGATGAATTGTTTCAACTCCGCCAACTTCTCGGAACTCCGTGACATTATGGCAGGTGCGACTCTCTAGATGCAATCTGTGTATAACATAATAATACAAAAAATCACTTTTGTTCCTGTGATAGTAACCTTGCACATTTTTTTGGCCTGACCGTCATCGTAAATAAATGCATTATTAAATGCGGTGCAATTGCCAGTAAGCTGGTTGTGGTAAAACAGGGTTTTTAACCCGGGGTCCCAAACAAGGAGTGGGCCGCAAACGTTGATCACTGACTGTTGCCGCTCATCACACTTTATTATTTATTATTGATTTTAGTCAGCATAGATACAGTTTTATGCAGTTAACAGTTATAAATCAGAGTCAGAGTAAGAGCGAGATCGAATTCAAGCGAGAGAGACAGTTGTAAAAGTTTACAATGTGACTGACTGCATGACAATTGACATGACTATATGATCCAATAAATGTTAGGAAAGAGCATCGCAAGACGGCAGCATCGGTGGAGCAACAACCAAGCAATTCATTTCGATACACGTACGCACGAACCCACAGGCACTTGGAACGTCTCAATAAAAAAAAATGTAAACACGAAATGTATTTACAACCAGTCTCTCTACTCTATTTCGCCTATTATTGCCGATAATCACCCGTAAATGCCGGTCAAATGCTCATCTGCAACACACAACTACACCGCACGCCCGCCCTGTGCACAAACAACCTGAATAAGAGAGCTCTTGACCGGCATTTACGGGTAATTATCGGCAATAATAGGCGAAATAGAGTAGAGAAAAATTAAGACTTAGGTAGTAAATACATTTCGTGGGTGCAAATCTACTTTAGGCACCTTAGGTATCATGAATTGGTACATGCGGCAACTGTACGCGGGATATAGACCTAACGCCCCCCTAACGCACGACACACATTTGCAAGATTCTGTCAGGCATATTTTATTATTTATCAATCACATCACCAAAGGTTCAATGGATACAGTACATTTATAGATGTGACGATTTGGATTGAATTCGAATTTTCTATATAACTCACAAAACGGTATGATTTATACCGTGATTTCGATTTGAACGCCGGTGCCACCAAAAACAAAACATCTTCTTCCGCTATCACCGGTGCGTTTATAAACCACTTCCGGGCCAATTCGACTCTGGCTTGGAAATGAAAATTCCACGTTCTCTGTTATAAATCCAATATATCTATAAAAAAAAATATTATCCTTAAATTAGCTCATATGTTATGAGAGTATTTTGTCGTTTTATAACCACGCAAATATATTTATATTCTACTACTACTGTACTTATATTTGCTTATATTTACTCTGAAGCTGGGTAATGAAAGTACCCCACACGTGCAAAATCTCCTTTGACTGAGCTTTGCGCACAGTGGCTTTGCTCGGATATTTTGTTTTGAGTATCACATAATGTACTCAAGTGGTTATGTGAACTGTACCTAGTGACAAACGACGATGTAAATGATGACATCAAAGGGAATCAAGAAACCGGATAAAGCAGGAGAACATCTCCGGCCTTATAAATTATAAGTGAAAACAATGATTTATATAATACACATTTACACCGGTGTCACGGTCTGAGATTACCACAGTCTGAGATTACTGTCATACTGATTAGTGTGGCAGTCACAGGCACTTGAAGCGTATCAACTGTAAACACACGGCGCCGCCATTGCGCGTACACTAACACATAAATATAGAGCAGGTATGAAAGCGTGCGCCAGGAATTCGCTCGACGCTCGCTTGATTACACACGATTACAACAGAAATACTCAACCTTACGACTCCATCTTTGCTCCTAATTGAAGTACAGTGTTCACTTGTTGTAGAAATATCATGTCTCACTTCGCAACAGAGCTGTGTCACGCAAAATCACGAATTAAATCATGAAATTCTCGCGATCTCTAGCATTGCTTGCGCGATGGTAACACATTTAAGTACATGGCGGAAGGCGGCGCACTGCATCTTGGGTAACCACAACGTTGCTTTCCGCCTCCCATGTGAGCCCCGTCAAAGCCGCCAGTGGGGCGTTGCTATAGATACCATAGACTGGACCAACGTTCGTTACCTCTGCACGTTTTTAAGACAGTTACATCGGAGTGTACAGTCTGATAGTTGGAGCATGGAGCGAGTCGAGTCGCCGGAGGCATGCTGTTCGAAAAATGACGTCACGATTACGACCGGTAGGGGTCTCCAGATCTCGAAATGTGTTACCATCGCGCAAGCAATCCTAGAGATCGCGAGAATTTCATGATTAATTCGTGATTTTGCGTGACACAGCTCTGTGTCGAAGTGAGACATGATATTTCTACAACAAGTGAACACTGTACTTCAATTAGGAGCAAAGATGGAGTCGTAAGGTTGAGTATTTCTGTTGTAATCGTGTGTAATCAAGCGAGCGTCGAGCGAATTCCTGGCGCACGCTTTCATACCTGCTCTATATTTATGTGTTAGTGTACGCGCAATGGCGGCGCCGTGTGTTTACAGTTGATACGCTTCAAGTGCCTGTGGTGGCAGTAGGACTATCCGACTAGGACTCAGAGGGTAAAATCAGACTGGTCCTGGGGGTAATCTCAGACCGGTCTGGAATTGTTCGCGCAAATTATATCTTAACGCAAATAACCCGGCTGCCCATAGGCGGGTAAATTTAGACTGGGGGAATCTCAGACCGGGTTGGAATTGTTCGCGCAAATTATATCTTAACCCGGGTGCCCATAGGAGGGTAAATTCAGACTGGGGTAATCTCAGACCAGTCTGGAATTGTTTTGCGTAAATTATATCTTAACCCGGGTGCCCATAGGAGGGTAAATTCAGACTGGGGTAATCTCAGACCAGTCTTGAATTGTTCGCGCAAATTATATCAACCTGGGTGCCCATAGGCGGTAAATTCAGACTGGGGTAATCTTAGCTCTAGAACTATAGCCCTCCGCTCCACTGCAGGGCTATAGAACATACTATGGCAATTTCCAGGGAGTAAGCAAAGACAATTTTTTTGCGGTTAATAACTTCGGTATGCCAAATAAAGCACATTCTCTGCCGCACAAATGTCTTAGCATTAGTAGTAGTACCACTGGCAAAAAGGGAACTACAAGCCTAGTTTGCTGTGTGCACAGTTAGCCAGCTGAGATTATTTTTATTCTTTACTTTACAATTATAAACAATGGATATAGTTGACAAACGTGCTTAACGATAGACGATACGATAGACATAACGATAGTTTATACAGCATAGAATTTGTCGATGCGTAACCCCTCCAGGTCACTATATCCATAAACAACTATATGATCCAACCAATTCCAATGAGAGGCAAACCATTTCAACCTTAATGGGTTTTGTTGAATCAATCATTATCAACTACCGACTGTTGGTTTATCACAGAAAACTATAATTTTGAGTACATTGCTTCGCATTACTCGTCCATAAAAACACTGGCCATAGAGGTTCCCAATCTGATATATCGTATGTCTAACTTTTGAGGTGGGCGTCCCGCAACTGTTATATGTCATCATTCTTTGTAAGATATACATATTTATGTAATAGAATTTTCGATATTGTCAACTTCATATAAAATAATATTTTTTAATAATTTACGTCTCACCAGGTCGTCTGCATCACAGGAATAAATTTTCAAAGACAATCACTAATTGTAAGTCTACTATATCGTCATCATTCTATATCTTCCTTATGTTGTATGCTGAAGTTGAACTTCATTTTGAATTTGTGCTGTTCAAGTAAACTGATCTAGGTGATGTTACTTATTAAAGTATCTGTGAAAACAAAAGTTCTATGAGTTCACTATAGCAACGAGTTAATGCTTGAAATCTTTACTCCAGTTTGCCATGGAGTGTTGCTTATCGTGTCACAAGAGACCTTCCAGAGTGTTTCATTGATGTGACTTTATAAAAGACAATTAACAGTAAATGTGATTCCCAGATAATTTTTTACGGGCAGAATTTTGCTTTCTGGTCAGTGCTATAAGCTGCTAAGTTATATTTGTTGCTATATATTGTAAGAAATTTTTATTTTTAGGGTTATGCAGAATTAAGCATTAATCCCTTGAGGAGTGACTTACGGAAGATCAAGATAAACAGCAAACAGTGTCATATCCTTTGTGAAATATGTCGAAGCTGATTATTAACTCGGGCCAGGGTAAAACATACACGGGAGCGATGAGCGATGAGCTCTTCAAACCTCCGAAATTGCTCCCGTGAGGCTCAAAATAGCTCCCGTAAAATCATTGACGAGAGCTATTTTTCCACAGACGTGAAAACGAGCTCCCGTGAAAAAAAATTAATTTTTCCCTGCCTCGGGCATGTGCTATAAGTGCTTCTTTCAATGTAGCGTTACTAAAAGCTATTGCTTGCTAAAACGCACCATTAAAATCCTCATTCTTAAGCCATCTACTTCAACTCAGATCTGCTCTAAATAGCAGGTTATTGCTATAGATAGGGGTAGTTGTTTACTGAGACGTTTGAGATAGATGGTCAATAATATAAAAATAAGACAGAGTTGTGTACACAGAAATGTTAAAAGATTATATTATAGTACCGGTAGGTAGAAAGAACGAGTTTGTATAAAAGCTAGTGTGTGTGCAGTGTGTTACACTAGCGTGGTTACTTTCCTTAAGTGATGCTTACGTATATACCGGATCTGTATTAATGACTCGCTGGAGTGTCAGTTCACCTACAGTGACCCTTCCTTGGAGGTGTGTCAGGGAGACTCCAAACAGTAAGTCTATAGTCACCCTCATGAGGGTTTCCCCCAGGAATTTCAAAAGGCATGTCGGGCTGGTTATTCCCAGTTGGTAATTGGAGTCAATTATGCGTGTCGTAAGCACCCTTTATTTTCACAGATGAACTCGATCAGTTCAGAGACATAATGAAACCTGTCAGGTAGGAAGGTCGTTACGGGGGCGCGTACCTGTGAGGTAGGTCATTACGGCGGCGCGTACCTGTGAGGTAGGTCGTTACGGGGGCGCATACCTGTCAGGTATGTCGTTACGGGGGGCGCGTACCTGTAACCTATTATCAGCCAAATTCATCCCTCTAAACATCTAAACTCGCTGACTGTGTTCGGTACAGATGCACACATCAGACAGGCCCTTGCAGACCTGTTCAGCGCTGGATTTGAGACGACCGTCTCCACATTGCGTTACGGACTGCTCTACATGATCGCTAATCCCGAGGTGCAGCACACAGCTCAGGAGGAGATAGACAGGTGAGCGAGGGAGGGAGGGAAGGAGAGAAGGAGAGAGAGAGAGCGAGATAGAGAGAGACAGAGAGAGAGAGATAGAGAGAGAGAGAGAGAGAGAGAGAGAGAGAGAGAGAGAGAGAGAGAGAGAGAGAGAGAGAGAGAGAGAGAGAGAGAGAGAGAGAGAGAGAGAGAGAGAGAGAGAGAGAGAGAGAGAGAGAGAGAGAGAGAGAGAGAGAGAGAGAGAGAGAGAGAGAGAGAGAGAGAGAGAGAGAGAGAGAGAGAGAGAGAGAGAGAGAGAGAGAGAGAGAGAAAGAGAGAGAGAGAGAGAGAGAGAGAG